ACCAGTAGGAACCCCAGTAATACCAGACAAAGAAAGCAAAACAAAATAACAGCACAAAAACTCTGAAAATTAAACTGTCATTGAAACCACAGCCCACAAAAATAGGCTGAGGTCTGCATGATAAACCTAAATAGAGTGACTGCCTATGAAAATAAAAGACTGAAATAGGCCCCAGAGGGTCCTAACATAATAGACAAAATATCTAGGATTCAATGGAAAATCACCCGTCATACCAAGAACCAAGAAAAAGCACAACTTGGATGAGAAAAGTCAATTGACCAATCTCAACACCTAGATGAATCAGATGTCGGAATTGTCTGAAAAGGATTTTAAATCAGCCATCGTAAAAAAGTTTCAACAATCAATTATAAATTTGCTTAAAACAAATGTAAAAATAGAAAATCTAAGCAAAGAAACAGAAGTTATAAAAATAACCAGATGGAAATTATAGAACTAAAAGATGCAATAACTGGGGCCGGAGCATTGGCACAGTGGTTAAGTTCACCCATTCTGCTTCGGCAGCCGGGGGTCTGCCAGTTCGGATCCCGGGTGCAGACATGGCACCACCTGTCAAGCCATACTGTGGCAGGTGTCCCATATGTATAGTAGAGGAAGATGGACACAGATGTTAGCTCAGGGCCAGTCTTCCAGGGCAAAAAAGAGGAGGATTGGCAGCAGATATTAGCTCACAGCTAATCCTCCTCAAAAAAAAAATGCAATAACAGGAATAAAATACTCACTAGATGAGTTCAACAGTAGACTGGAGATGACAGGGGATACAATTAGTGAATGTAAGGACAGAGCAATAAATAGAATTCACCCAATTCAAACAACAGAGAGAAAATAGGCTGCAAAACAATGGACAAAGTGACCTGTGGGACAATGACAAAAGATCCAATATTTGTATCATCTGAGTTCCAGGAGAGGAGAAAGAGAGAAAGGCGGAAAGAAGTATCCAAAGAAATATGTCCGTCTTGGTGAATAAGATACCATATAGCTACGGAAATCAAGACAGTGTGGTATTGGTAGAGGGCAGACAATCAATGGAATAGAACAGAGAACCCAGAAATGGACCCACTCAAATATCCTCAATGCTTTTTGACAGAAGTCCAAAAGCAATTCAATGGAGAAAAATAGCCTTTTTAACAAATGGTATTAGAGCAATAGGATATCTCTCGGCCAAAAAAAAAAAAAAATGGACCTTAACCTAACACCTTACACAAAAACTAACTCAAAAGGATCATGGACTCAAATGTAAACATAAAACTGCAAAACTTCTAGGAAAAAAAAAAATAGGAAGAAATCTTCAGGATCTAAAGCTAGGTAGAGTTCTTAGACTTGATACAAAAAACACAATCCATAAAAGGAATAAATGACAAATTGGGCCTCACCATAAGTAAAAGCTTTTGCCCTGCGAAAGCCCATGTGAATAGGATAAAAAGACAAGCTACAGACTAGGAGAAAATATTTGCAAACTACATATCAGACAGAGGACTAGCATCTAGAATATATAAAGATCTCTCAAAATTCAACAGTTAAAAATAACAATCCATTAGAAAATGGGTAAAAGACAGGAACAGACATTTCATGGGAGAGGATATAAAAATGGCAAGTAAGCACATGAAAAGATATTCAACATCACTAGCCATCAGGGAAATGCTATTAAAACCACAATAAGATATCACTACACACCTATCAGAAAGACTAAAATAAAATATAAGGACAAGACCAAATGCTTGTGAGGGTGTAGAAAAACTGAATCACTCATTTGTTGCTGGTCAGAAGACAAAATGATAGAGTCATTCTGGTTTGTTATAAAACTAAACATTCAACTACCATATGACTCAGCAGTTGTACTCTTAGACATTTATACCAGAAAAATGAAAACACAGTTTACACAAATACCTGTATACAAATGCTATAGTAGCTTAATTTATAACAGCCAAAAAAGCAGAATCAGCCCAAATATCCTTCAACAGGTGAATATATACCATAGAATGCTACCCACAGTAAAAAGGAACAAACTTTCGATATAGGCAACAACTTGGATGAATATCCAGGAAATCCTGCTGAATGACAAAAGCCGATCCCAACATTACATACTATCTGATTCCATTTACATAACATGCTTGAAATGACCAAATTCTGGAAAAAGGACAGATTAGTCGTTGCCAGGGTTTAGGGCCTGCAGAATGGAGGAGGGAGGTGAGTGTGGTTATAAAAGGGGAACACAAGGGATTCTAGTAGTGTTGGAACTGTTTAGTACCTTGATGGTAGTGGTCGATAAATGAACCTAGACAGGTAATAAAATTTTATAGAACTTAATATTTGCACAACAATGAGTACAAGTAAAACTGGAGAAATATGAATAAGATTAGTGGATTATGTCAATGGTAATATCCTGGTTATCATATTTACCATAGTTTTGCAAAATGTTACCATTCAGGGCAACTGGACAAAATGTACAAGGGATCTCTCTGTATTATTTCATACAACTGCATGTTAATCTACAATTACCTCAATAGAAATTTCAACTAAAAACAAGTAATGCCCAAACCTCAAACTATAGCTAAGAGAAAGAACAATAACGTACAGAGGGTGTCACAAATTTAGCTTCATTCCTCCAGAAGTAATTGACAGAGCTGTTATCCATAAGGAAGACGAAAAGAAATTGCAAGGAAATTATACAGTCACATTGTAGCCTAAAATTACAGAGAGAGGAAGAGACAGAGATGGGGAGGACAGTGATTTATATTAAAGACTGATTTGTAATGTAAGTTCCAATCAGGCAGGGAGTTACTCTGTTCTCTTCCCCCAATCTATCTCCAGTGCTTAAAACAGTGCCCTGCATACAGGCGACAAGAAAGAGCTGCTAAATGAATTAACTGGTTGAAGCTACACAGCATTGCGTATGCACTTTCTCATGTGTCCCACAGGCCCCTTCTTCATTCTTTAGGATACTTGGTAATACTAGGTATTAATTTTACAACTCTAACCTACAGGTTAAAATTCAAACTCCTGGGCTGACCCAGTGGCATAGTGGTTGAGTTCACACTCTCCACTTCAGCAGCCCGGGGTTCACAGGTTCAGATCCCAGGCACAGACCCAGCAGCGCTCTTCAAGCCATGCTGAGGCAGCATCCCATACAAAATAGAGGAGGACTGGCACAGATGTTAGCTCAATGACAGTCTTCCTCAAGCAAAAAGAGGAGGATTGGCAATGGATGTTAGCTCAGGGCCAATCTTCCTCACAAGAAAAAAATTCAAACTCCTTTGCCTGGTAATCAAAGCTGGGCCCAAACAACTTTCCACTCTCAACAACAGCACCACAACTTACTACTTATGGTTCCTTAATTGTCTCATGATCATACACCTGTCCCTTTGCAGATGTTGTTCCTTCAGTCTAAATGTTTTTCCTCCCTTGTCTGCCTGGAGAATTATCAACACTAAACTTTAAAGTTGTATTCTCTGTGCAGGTTTCTCTGACGATCCCCACAACAAAACCACCCAGGCCAACTTACGTGCTCCCTTTTCTCAGATCTCAGGGATCATGTATGTACCTGTGATGAACATAACACTTCTCATAGTATATTTTAACTATTTGTTCAGTTCTATTTCTCCCATTAAACTATAAACAACACGGAAATAAGAATATCACAGATTTTTCATCTTTATATTACTAGGGCTTAGGTTACTACCCAGAATACAGTAGATATTCTATTTACTATAAACAATTATAAGAGTGAATCCATTTTTTAAAAGATCTGTAAATAAGATTTTAAAATAAAAAGATCTATAATTTAGTGGAAAGTATAAATCATACAGAAACAGAGTATTATACAAAAGTACATGCATATTATTAGCAAAGATGTCTATCCCTAAATAGCATCTTTTTAAAATAAAACTAGTAAAAATCCTAAGAAACTATTGACTATTTAGATTTATTTAAATCTATCTTATTTAATGGTATTCAGTTTGGTATTTAGGATCAAGTGAATTATGCTGAGTTTTCAACTCACTATAAATAGTGATTAAAGACTTTAAAAGAAACATTAAAAATTTCTATACTTTCAAATATTAGAAGTTCAATTTGCATAAAATAGATCTATAAATACATACTTCAATGGAAGTTATCAAATAGCAAAATATAAAACAGGTAACGAGTTTCCTTGGTGGAATAACAGAATTCCCATGGTATTTTTTGTAAGTTAAGGATATATGCAAGTATTTGCTCTAAAATGTCTCCTGTTTTTGAGCTTTTGGCTCCATAACTGACAACTTTCACATTCTCCAAGTACACAGATGAAAATACTGTTTTTATATAGCATAAAGAAAGTTTAATCTGTATTGAGTATTCTCTTTCAAGTAAGGACAACTTGTTTTAACACAGATAATGTCCTATGGTCAAAAATATTTCATTTCCCTTATTTTAACATTGACAACAAGATTCAAACATAACACTGAAGGTATGCTAAAGTAGAAAAATCAGCAAAGAACTAAATAAAAACTGTGTAATAGGGGCCAGCCCCATGGCCGAGTGCTTAAGTTCATGCGCTCTGCTTCGGCAGCCCAGGGTTTCGCTGATTCAGATCCTGGGTGCGGACATGGCACCACTCATCAAGCCATGCTGAGGTGGTGTCCCACATAGTACAACCCGAAGGACCTACAACTAGAATATCCAACTATGTTCTTGGGGGCTTTGGAGAGAGGAAGAAGAAAAAGAAGAAGAAGATTGACAACAGATGTTAGCTCAGGTGCCAATCTTGAAAGAAATCAAAACTGTGTAATAGAAAAAGGAAACTTTTCATTCTTCCCCCAACAGATATTCTCATGAGCTAGCAAGAAATTCAATAGAGTTTGAATTTACAATCTGTGATTAATAAAATCTATCAAAATCAGTTTATGGTTCAAATTACTTTATCAGAATATGTTTATTCTTTGATAAAGACTATAAAATCATTAACCAAAGTACAAAAATAATTATCTAACAGTATTTCTTACCTTTTGTATGCATCAATACTGAGAGAAGTCAGAAACAGTGGCTGTTTGAATAAAATATTCAGCTGCCTGCAGCAAGACAGAAACAAAGTCACAAAAGCCACTGAGTGTGCAAGAAATAACCACAGTTACAAACCAAAAAAGTGATCTCATGTGAAACAAAGTGAGGTGCTTTTCAGAAGCAAACAGGCAGGAACTAACAATCACCAAAATTTAACTTGAAGACATTGTTCATCACCAGTTTATGTATGCTGACCTTGGCCACCTTACAGACAGAATATTAAAATTGCTCCTATGCTTTCTTTATGTGAAAGCGTGGCTTCTACCTTAATTTAAAATAAAAGAGAAATTCAACTGAAACAGCACTGGACTAGCCAGGCTATTGGAACAGCATTAATGGATGATGATGTTCCACGGAGAGAGAACACTTAATAAAAACCGTGCAAGTCTATAAACAAATGAACAACATGTGTGCCTTTAAATTAACTATTTTTTTAATTTTAAAAATGTCTTTGAAGTACTGACATTTAAAATTATACAGGGAGAGCAGAATTATTAACAGAAAGTTTTTCTGTGTTTTGTTATTAATATAAATCAACAGGTATTTATTGAGTAACCATGAGAAAGATACTGTTAGGGATACAAAGATAAATAAAATCTGGATTACTGAATTCAAACAATTTACAGTGTAATAAGAATAAATACACAAGATCACAGGTAACGATGAAACAATTCATTCAAAATTCATTCAGCAACATGTATTAAGCACTTGTTTGCCAGGCATATTTCTCAGTGCCAGGAATACCAAGACACGTAAGACTATAGTACCTACTCTCAAGAAGTTCACACCCTACTAGTGGTGACAAAAATGGAAACAAACGCCATATAATTCAACAGGTTCACAAATACAAACTGTTATAAGCTCAGTGGGGATAAAGAGGAAGGATGCACAACATTTCTAGAATCCATCAGGGAAGGCTTCACAGGATATAAAAGCCTGAGGTACAAAATGCTGCAAAAACACAGAGAAAGGAAAGAACACAGCAGAGGAGGGGACTTAAGGTTTTATTAGAAAGAGAATCTCATTTTGCCATATATACATGTACCAAATCATCACCTTAAACTTACACAGCATTATATGTCAATCATATCTCATTGAAGAGGTGAAAAAATATTTTTTAATTAAAAAAAGATAACAGGGGCTGGCGTGGTGGTGTAGTGGTTGAGTTCGCGTGCTCTGCTTCGGTGGACCGGGGTTCAAGGGTTCAGATCTTGAGTGCAGAACTACATACCACTCATCAAGCCATGCTGCAACAGTGTCCTACATACAAAATAGACGAAGACTGGCACAGGTGTTAGCTGAGCGACAATATTCCTCAAGCGAAAAAAGGAAGATTGGCAACAGACATTAGCTCAGGGCCAATCTCCCTCATCAAAAAAAAAGAGAGAGAGAGAGAACAGAGCCAGCCCTAATGGCCTAGTGGTTAAACTTCAGCGCACTCCACTTCAGCAGCCTAGGTTCGGTTCCCAGGCACAGAACCACACCACTTGTATGTCAGTAGCCATGCTGTGGTGGCAGCTCACATAGAAGAACTAGAAGGACTTACAACTAGAATATATGACTATGTATTGGGATTTGGGGAGTGGGAAAAAAAAGAGAGAGGAAGACTGGCAACAGATGTTAGCTGAAGGTGAATCTTTCCAGGGTGGGGGGGAGAAAACATTGTTGATAAGACCTGAGAGATATTTATGAAAGGAGTATACATATGTACGTGTGTGTGTCTGTCTGCAAAGGTGTTTGTAGGAGGTGGCTTTGGAAGCAGACTGCCCTGGGTTGAAATCCTAACTCTACAATTTAATAGCTATGTAACAGAACCTTTTAATTCACCTCCTGGAAGCTCAATTTTCTTTAAAATGAGGATAATAATACCGACTTTGCAGAGTTGTTGTGAAATGTAAACAAGCTAAAGTATTTAATGTGTCTGGCTTTAGATAGACTTAAAAAGTGGTCATTACTGGAGTGATGTCAGCAGCATGGTGGAGTGAGCTGTTCCCTTTGTCTCTCCCTTCTAAGTTACAACTAAATGGACATTTATTAACCAACAGAGGATTCCCTACAAACCACAAAGGACGCCTGAGAGATCCACACAGCCACAGATGTGAAGTTGGGTAGACTGGATCCCCAGATGGCAGTGGAAGTGGGTGAGCAGACCCCTTCCTCTCCCCAGCAGCAGTGATCCAGGTTGTGGGTCCTCATGCAGTGGCCAGCACAACTGTAATGGAGGGCAGGAGTAGACCAGCCAGAGAGCAAACACTTTCAGAGTAGTAGCCCAGCCTGAGGGAGCACCAACAATGCCTCAGTGGCCCTGCCCATGGGAACACTCCCCAATAGGCAGCTGCTCAGCCCCCTCAACAGAGCCCTGCCCACAAAGTGCAGAGGCTCAGCAGAGCTGCCCGTGACCACAGAGCTGGCCTGCACATGAAAGAAAGCAACCATCCCTTCCCACCTAGTGCAGCAGCTAGGCCAGTCCCCTGCCAAGCACAGTGGTCCTGGCTGCATGAGAACAACCTGCCAGTGGAGCACAGAGGCCCTGCCTGCAAGTACATGTGTGACCCACCGAGCAGCAGAGGCCAGGCGACACAAACGCAGAGCTACCCTATGCTATGGCTTCCAGCAGACAGGGTGAGATCAAAAAACACAGCTCCTGCCCCCTCCCAGCAGTGGCAGGTAGAATCTGCAACCTGATATTGCCACAAATGCACCAGCAAAGGATCAATTCATTAAACACCACGAGGAGCTAAAGTAACACTTCAGAGCACAAGGAAAATGACAAGTCTGCAGAAACCAATTCTGAAGTCACAGAAATTTACAATCTAAACAACAGATGGGCTGGCCCACTGGCACAGTGGTTAAGAACACATGCTCCACTTCAGCGGCCTGGGGTTCACAGGTTCAGATCCCAGGTGCAGACCTATGCACTGCTCATTAAGCCATGCTGTGGCAGTGTTCCACATAAGCACGGAGGAACGCTGGCACAGATATTAGCTCAGGGACAATCTTCCTCAAGCAAAAAGAGGAAGATTGGCAACAGATGTTAACTGAGGGTCTATCTTCCTCACAAAAAGAATTTTTTAATTAAAAAAATAATAAATGACAGAGAATTCAAAATAGTTGTCATAAAGTAATTCAACAACTTACAAGAAAACTCAGAAAGACAGCTCAACGCACTTAGGAATAAAATTAATAAGCAAAGGGAATACTTCACCAAAGAGATTGAAGCTTTAAAAAGAAAACCAAACAGAAATTCTGGAGATGAAGAACACAATTAATGAGATAAAAAATAAGGTAGAAACCATAAAAAATATAGCTGATGTTATGGAGGACATAATTAGTGCTTTAGAGTAAAGAAATACATAAATGCTTCAGCTGGAGGAGGAGATAGAGAGAATTAAGATTTTTTAAAAATGAAGAAATTATTCAAGAAATATCTGACTCAATTAGGAAAACCAACATAAGGATTATAGGTATTCCAAAGAGAGAAGAGAGGAAGAAAGGAGCAGAAAACTTACTCAAATAATAGCTGAGAACTTCCCAAAAATTTACATATTTTATATATTTTATATATAATACGTATATGATATAAAATATAAATATAATTATATACATTTATATAATTATAATATATATTTTTTAATATTTAAATATTTACTTATTAACATGTATTATATATAATACATGATATATAAAAATATATTTATATACATATGGTCTATCTTTCAGAATGTTCCATGTCCACTTGAGAAGAATGTGTATTCTGCAGTTTTTGGATGGAATGTTCTACATAGCTCTCTATTAAGTCCATCTGGTCTAGTATTTCATTTAAGGCCACTATTTCCTTGTTGACTTTCTGTCTGGATAATCTATCCATTGATTTAAGTGGAGTGTTGAGTTCCCCTAAGATTATTGTGTTGCTGTCAATTTCTCCCTTTAGGTCTGTTAATAGTTGTTTTGTATACTTTGGTGCTTGTGTGTTAGGTGCATATATATGAAGTGTTATGTCTTCATGGTGGAATGTCCTTTTTCTCATTTTAACCTGCTCCTCATCTCTCATTGTCTTTTTTAGCTTGAAGTCTGCTTTGTCTGATATAAGTACGGTAACACCTGCTTTCTTTTTTAAGCTCTTTTTTTAAAAATTTGAGTTCATAATAGTTTACATCATTGTGCAATTTCAGTTGTACATTATTTCTTGTCTGTCACCACATAAGTGCCCCCCTCCACCCCGTGCCCACCCACCACTCCCTTCCCCTGGTAACCACTGAACTGTTTTCTTTGTCCATGTGATTGTTTATATTCCACATATGAGTGAAATCATCTGGTGTTTGTCTTTCTCAGTCTGGCTTATTTTGCTTAGCATAATTCCTTCCAGGTCCACCCATGTTGTTGCAAATGGGATGATTTTGTCTTTTTTATGGCTGAGTAGTATACCATTGTATATCTATGCCACATCATCTTTATCCAATCATCGGTCCATGGGCACTTGGATTGTTCTCAAGTCTTGACTATTGTGATTACCCCACCTAGCTGTTATTTGTCTCCAAATCTGCCCCTCAATCTCCACTTGCCCCAAAATCTTATTCTCTAGTTCAACTCTTAACTTCACCCATGGAGGTTTTAAGGTCTGTAGTCTTCTCCAAAGACCCATTCGATCCAACTCCATTTCAAGTGCCCACTGCTACTGCCCACAGCCTGAATCCAAAACTGCTTGATCTCTGCAATGGTAAACATTAATATTCTAGTTTTAGGCTACAACCTACTACATTCTGTCTCTCTCAAGTCTTAACTGCTGCTATACCTACTCTCTGACCTCCAAGAGATCTCCACCAATCAAATTATTTTCCCTAAAATTTATTAGCTTCCCCTATATTCTCTCCCATCTAGGGTGAACAGGCCACTTATCATCCAGAACTAGGATACTTTTCTGAGTGAAATGAGGTGCTACTCTTTATTATGCCACGACAACAAGTGTAAACCTGCACTATCCCAGGCAAACTGCAACATACAGACCCCT